ATGTGTTAAAATCTCCCACTATGGCCACACAGTTGTGTCCTTTTCTTCATAGTTCTAGCAATTCTGCTTTACTTACTTTGAAACTGTATTATTTGGAGCATCAAATTTTAAATTGTTATATTATTCAAGAGATTGAACATGGTGTCTTTATGTCTAGTAAGGCTTTTTTGCCTTAAAGACTATTTTTTAATAAATTAATACAGCTGCATTTGTTTTATGAAAATTTGCCGGATTTATCTTTTTCTATCTTTTTCATTCCAATCTTTACTTGCCATCTCCACTGCTTTTTATATGATTCCATAATACTACTACCACTATAATGTTCTAATTATAGTTTTAGCTTCAAAACTAAGATTATTCACATCTCAAAAGAAACAGGAAACAGAACTGACATCTCTGGAATTATGGTTTGTGGTTTTGAGTATCATTGGTTTCCCATGGTAAGCCCTATTCTTTCTCCAAAGACCAGTTCTTGTTTTCACTGAGCTCATGGGCTATGCTGCAAAAACATATATGTGTGGGTGGGTGCCAGGGCAGGAAGAGGGAAGATGCGGCCAGGAGAGGTAGAGGTGGGTAAACGATGCTCAGTGTAGGGTGGATATGGCGAATCCAAATGCCTTAAAGGGCCAAACAGCTAACTTAAGCAATCACACAGGTGGGAGGGAACTGTCTGGACTAGGGGTCACTTGCCCTTCTAACTTGTCCTTGATCAATTTTTTCCCTATTTGAATGTTGCCAGATATTTTTCAGGAGAAACTTAAATCTAGATTTGGGTGGGAAATCTACTGAGTTTGAAAATTAGCAGCTAATTCTTTTTTTTTTAAATTCTATGCAGGTCAAATAAATCACATCTGTTACCTTCATTTGCAAATATTCAGCTCCACCTACAAATCCTGGAAGAGATTTCACGTAGGAGGAAGAAAACAACTAAAAACGTCCTCCAGCCCCGAGAATCTTCCCAAATGGGCTAACCCACTCCTCCTCACAAAGAGAAATTCCTCCCAAGAAACATAAACCGAATTCATGTCCTAGTTCTTGAGAAATGGGTTTTTTAGTTCCTTGGCCTGGTCAACTACCACAAGCAGCATCATACGCTGGTTGTCCTCAGGTAGAAACAGGAAGTCATAGGAAGCAAGAGTGGGGCTCACCCATGAAGGGTTATCAAAAAGTTTCTACCAAAGCAAAATCCAAAACTTTGTCTGGGGCCCCTGTTGGCAATCCTATGCCAATGTCCAAATTTGAAATAAGCTCACTAACCTCAGTCTGAGAAAAAAAATGTTGTGTGTTTGGGGGGGAGAAGGGGGAGGGGCGGTGTAGAAGCCAATCTGAGAAAAAATATATTTTTTTAAAAAGAGAAGGAAAAGACAAGATGTCTCCTCAAAAAAATATTACATGTATGTGTGTATATGGGTATCTATGCAGGCATATACACATGAAAGTCCTTAATTCTTCTGCTCATTTGTTATTATTTCAAAAGAATAAAATATTGGTGAAATATCTCTAAGCGATCTACATTCAGTACCACCAAGAGGAGGTGCTTCAATGACTGGCCAAACAAGGTGTTCTTTAAAAACAAAAAAAACAAGCTTTGAGTCCCTGCTACTTATAGTATATGTTATTTTATATGGTGCTTAAAACAAAACTAAGAAGTATTTTCGTCTTATAGTGAGTAGGCTGAAAAAACTGAAGCACAAAAAAGATAAATCACTTGCCGAGGTCGCAGATTTAATAAGTGTTAGTTGCCAGGATTCAAAACAGGGTCTTCTGTGTGGAAATCCTGTGCTTTGCGCTCTGTCACACCTCCTGTGGCTGACAATCAGATGAGAACCTCAGCTCCGGCACCGAATTCTTAGATAGCCAAGACTCCTGACCAAGTGTGGGAGCTGGGAGGTGCCCATGTCAAGGACTCAAAACTGTGTGAAGTCAGAAATGAGCAGCAGGACTCACAGTGTGTAGCAAAGGCAGGAAGGACCACTGGGAGATTAAAGCCTGAATTTTAAAACCCTGTGATTTCTCACCTTCCCCACAACCCAATGCCCCTCCCCTTCTCTCCACACACAGACCAAGCACCCACATTACTTCTTCAAACATAAAAGCCATTTTATCCCAAATTCAAAGAGACTACTTTTCTATTTCCCTTCATTTTAATTTCCTTTCCAGAACCCAACCACCTGTGTAATCACTTTAGCTTGGTAGATTTCTACTTTAGATGATATTATTTTACTATCCTTCTTCTTATATTTTTAGTATGTAGTATTAAGACAGGTAAGTCAATATGTATTGCCTTAGATAAAGAAAACATGCTCCTTGTATACATTAGAACATCTTAAATAACAAAAATGTTCTATATGCTTTTATCATAGTTTCATTTAACAAAATTGTATTTACACCTACTTCGAAACACTGATCACATAAAGCAAATATTCATAGCATGCTATTCTGTCACATCTTTCGACTGGTCATATGATAATTGCATTGAATTAGTTGTACAAGAAAATTCAGTGTTTTCTTCTAGATAAAAATAAATAAATAAATAATGAACAACAGAGGGTGGGTAATTAAATTAATTCTCATTCTTTTCAATATGCACAATATAACATTTCACAGGGAATTGTGATAAAGGAGATTTCACTGGAAAAAGAAAATCCATAATTCATATGCCATCTCTCTCATCAATTCTCACATTGACCCTTCAGAGCAAAGCCCGTAATTGTTCTTCAGTATTTTCATTATCAAAGGTTTATTTTACAAATAAAAATTATATATGCATAACCCATATCCCAACATAGGGAAATTTAACTTAGTCTTGAGCTTTGTTAGAGGTTTGAGGATCCATTCTGAAGTAAACAGCTCTCCCCTCTTATTCTGATATCAGGCCCACCTTAGTCACAACTGCTCTGTATTTCAGGATTCAAAAGGGTGGTAATAAAATACTTGATAGTAAAGACATTGTCTTATTTACTTCAATCTGTATCTACCACAGTGCCCTAGAATAAATTATGGAAGAAAAAGAGAGAGCACATGAAAACTATAAACTCCTAGGTACTTACAAAGAAAATTAAGATTTAAGTATAGATTTTCTCTACCCATGGCTCAAACCTACCTTTGCAGAGAGCTCCCATTTCCATCAGGAAGGTACTAGAGAAAACAGAATCATTTACATTTAACTGAGAATTCATTCAATAATTGCTATAAAATATGTCTTCAAAAATACATGTTTATGATATCTTTAGCAAATGCATTGGCGCATATAGTACATATTAGAATTCTTTGCAAAAGAAAACCATTCAGTTTTTCCAACTTGATTATGTTCTAACTTGTCCTCTTTAAGAGCAGTTAATGTTATATGAGGGGGTCAATGATTATAAAAGGAGTTATGTTTTCTAATTTCATAATAGAAAAACTCATGAAGTGCTTTTATAAAGAACATTTTTTTAAAATCTCTAGCAGTTTGTTTCATCCATATTTCTAGGATCTTTGACCAAAACCAAAAATCCATTAGCTTTTCTTGAAACATTTCACTGGACATCACAACTTTATGGAAATAGACTTCCCCAAGGGCCCACATTATCCTCAGTGATACCTATAATACAGAGCCTCATAATTAACGAACTGGCCCCAGTGAATCCCAAATAACAACAGAGGACATGTAGGTGAAGGCTGACAGTATTCTGCTATTGGCCAAAGAGAATAGGATGTCACGATTGTATTTCCCCACTTCAGTTCATAATCAAGGTAATCTGTAACTCATACCAATAGCCATTCCATAGAGTGTAATCCAATTCTAAGGTATCCTGTACAACACAATTTATGTCGATAAAATACAGTGGGTCTATCTCTCTCATAGAAACTGGAAAGTGGAGTGAAATGATGAAATTATAAATGTTCAATATATAGCAGATAATACTCTCTCTCCTTCCTGGGATATTGAGTCTTCCAGGTTACTTGTTCACAAACGTTTTGTCCCATGTCTGGGGACCTCCTTCAGGAGATCAAATGATCCTGCTATTCACCTACTCTTCTGGTCCCTACTTGCCCAAACAGTCAGGATTCAGTAAAATAAATGGATCATAAATGAGATACCAAATGAAAAATATCAAGTAAATTAACAATTCATTTCGGGGGGAGGGTACTAAAAACGCTGACACTGATATACTAGAATAACTAAACAACCTGTCCAAGGACCACAGGATAGATTCTTTTATAGACTATATTAGTCTCCTATAACTGTGTAACAAATCACCACAAACGTGGTGGCTTGAAACAACAGTAATTCACTAAGCCCAGAGGCCAGATGTCCATAATCAGTTTCACTGGGCTGAAATTAAAGTGCTGGCAGGGCCACATTTCCTCCACAGGCCCTAGGAAAATCCTCTCCTTGCCAATTCCGGTTTCTGGTGGTTGCAGCATTCCTTGCCCTGTGGCCAGTCTCTGCCTCTGTGGTCACAGGCCTACTCCTCTTCAGTCTGTGCTCAAATCTCCCTCTGCCTCTCTTATCCTGGCATTTAGGGCCCCCCAGGATAACCCAAATAATCTCATCTCAAAATCCTTAACTCAATCAACATCTGCAAAGACACTTTTATCATACTTACAAGGTCCAGGAATTCAGATGGAGATATTTCTGAGGGAGGTGGGGCAGAGGGAAGCATTTTTCAGCCTACCACACAAACCAAGACCACAGTCCAAGAATTTAAACATAAGCAAAGGAAATGGTGAAAAGAATTCCAAGTTTTCCACAAAGCTTACACAATGTCCTTCTCATGCCATGACTGTCCAGTGTCATGCTCAGGGTATCAGTCACAATGATGTTTATGGATTAATGGATTATCTGCCTTTCGCCAACCACTGGCCAATTAAGAAGCTGGTTCCTCTACCATTTATCTAATAATAAAAATATTTATGATAGTGTTGCCAGAGGATTGGATGGGTGGAATTGAAACTGGATAACCTATGAGTCTGGGCTCCCTGTCACAACTTGAGCCAATTAAGCAGAGACAGAGTTGAATCATATATGAGCATTTATTTAAATGAAGCTGGCGGTACAGGAGAGCAGTAGATCGTCCATAAAATCCTGCTGTCCCCTTCCCATAAGCCAGCTGCTTATATTGGGTAGAGGGGAGAAGAGACAAAGATTGCATGGAAAAGTAGGAATTACAAGCATGAGGAAGTAGGCAAGATATAATGGTTACAGGTTATAGGCAATGCAGGCTGGGGGGGGGGGGGTATAAATGGCCAGCCCTCTGAGACCAGATTGGTTCAGCAACAAGGTTGTTCATCTTTCCATGATGACAGGCCGTCCTCAGAAAAAGAAGAATGGATTGCATTCCTGTCCCAGGGCGTGCAACTCTCAGCCAGGTTAGAATGTGCTTTCTCCAATCCAAACAGAACAATCACGGTTAACAGAGCATGATTAATATTTTTTATAATTATAACTAGCCCTGCTATTCTATTTCTGCCCCTAACATAATTACTCCGTCACTAGTGGGAACAGGGTCCTTGTGATATCATGAGAAAAGGAATTTTCTAAGACTGACATGGGAGAATGAGTGGCTTTTATTTACATGGAATTATATCCCTTAGTTTGCAAAGTACCAGTGTCTTTAAGCCAGTCCTAGAAAATGTGCAGCTGGGGCTTTTAGCAGAACTGAAAGCAAGGCCAGTGTCCAGAGTTTTCTTTCCAGGGTGGAGCTGAGTCCGAAGTAGCTTCAGGCCAGTTAAAGTCCATTAGTCCATTGTGTGGCATCCACATGGCTATGGGCCATCTGGGAGAATGCAGGGCATGTGAGCCCCACAAGCCAGAAGTGCAAGAGGGCCAAGAGCACCAAGAGCAAGAGAGAGAACTTCCTTTGTTCAGGACCTAAGTATCTCAGATTTCACACCCTTGCAGTCGCCAGGCCTATTCTAGCCATTGACTTGTTCCCAGGTGTGACTGACAGGTCAGCATCCTCCCACATCACCCAGACCTTCCTGGGCATATGTCTAAACTGCCTTAGTCCAGTCTTTCCCCCAGCCATCTGCAGGAAACAGACTTGGAGAATGTTAACTGCAGCGTCCTGGCAAAGCTGTATAAATGGCGTGCCTATATTATCTAGTCTCCCCTTTGCTCCTTTCCTGTTATCACACACCAGGTTATTGTCATGGTATCAATGGGTTGGGACAATATTCTTACCTGACTCTGGAGTCGGACAGAACATATCCTCTGATTATCCTGCAAGGCTTTTTATCAAAGCATTTTAGGTTAAAAGTTGTCTGGAGACCAACAGTTTTGGGTTTTTTTGTTTTGTTCTGTTTTAATCATTCACAGGATATTGTCACTGGCACAGTTACAAATAGGGAGGCGGGGTTTATTTCTAAAAAGAAAAAGAAAAAAATGTCAGGTGAATCTCCCAGCAAATATCAGTCTATCTTCTGGGTCGCTGGAGCTTGGCTTTCAGCTGCTAATGTATGTAAATGAGCCCATCCAGGGGCCCAGCTGTTGTATGTTGAAATGTGCTGATGAAACTAAATTGGGATTCTAGAGAACGCAAATCAAATTGCAAGCAAAATTACTGAAGTACACCAGCCCTCCTTTGAAGCATTATAGGCCAACCCAAGAAAAATGACTAATGGCTACTAATACACAGTTCTGACAGGAATCATAAGCTAGGAAGGAAGTTGCATGTAAAATAATAATAAAGAATATTAAATTGCCACCAGGCCCTGCCAGAGACAAATGAAAATGGAACAGATTCTCACCACCAGTCATTTACTCAGTCTCTTCAAAGCCGTCCCAGGAATCTGCAGACAAAGAATGCTTTCACTCTCATTCTCTTTCTACTAGAAAGGAATGTTTTCTCCGGAAGGTTTCCAAACTGGAAAAGGCAGATAAAGGATACCCCTCTGAAAAGGCTGTGAGAGGCATCCTTCAGGCCAGTTCATCCAGGTGGGAAAACAAGCTGCCTTTACCAGCTACTTGTAGAGAATATTGGGCACTTCTCCAAGATACTTCTAGTTTGATGGCTTTTCATTTCTCCTCTCATACTGTCATTCTCATTCTTACACAATCATACACCACCTAACAATGTTTTGGTTAATGATGGACCTTATATACCATATACCACGGTGGTCCTATAACATTTTAATGAAGCTGAAAAAGTCCTATCACCTAGTGACGTCACAGCCAACATGAGTTGCAGCGTAAAGCAATGCATTACTCATGTGTCTGTGCTGATGCTGGTGCAAACAAGCCTACTGCACTACCACTTGTATAAGAGTATAGCACATACAGTTACACACAGTACATGATTCATGATAATGATAATAAACGACTATGTTACTGTTTTATGTATTTACTAGAGGCCCGATGCAAGAAATTCATGCAAGGGGCTTGGCCCTCACAGTCAGCTGCGAGCCCTGGCTTCATCCAGATGTCGTTCCACTGTTCAGCCGTCTGGTCTAATTAGCATATTACACTTTTATTATTATAGCCTAGAGGCCCAGTGCATAAAATTTGTGCACTGTGGCGGGGGGAGTGTTCTCTCACCCCAGCCTGTACTCTCCAACCTGGGACCCCTCAACTGCCCTCCCTCCCCTGTACATTAATAAGATGGTTAGCAGCATCCCTGATCTGTGCTCACCAGATACCAGTAGTACCCTTCCCCCAGCTTGTCTCTAGACATTGCCATATGATCCCTGGGAAGGGGGAAGAATTTCCATTCCCCCACTCCATTGAAAACCACTGTTCTATTTGTCTAATCTCCCAAACTACTTCAGTGGAATTGGCTCCTCTTCCATCTGATATATATATTCCTCCTAGTTCCAATTTCACCCAAGTTTACAATCTGTTACTCTGAGGCATCTTCTTCCTCCTGAGTTAGCAACCTTCAGCTTTGATTCAACTTTCCAAATGATACCAGCCCCAATGCAGCTAACACAAATTTTTGTGTCTATTATTCTTAATCTTCCCATTACAGATGATAGAGTATGATTTCTCCATTACATACCTTTGTCCCATAAATGCTGGCTTTATCTTATAAGCCCTGTAAGCACTAAGTTAATTTATATAACAATGAGAGTGTTAATAGAGAGCACATAGGCCAGAACCCTTCTTAACTATAGAAATGCTAAGTTGGTTCCTAACTCTAAGCATACTTACCCTCCTGAACAAGTATTCATTTCTTCCTCTCACTTGTGTAATGGGAATTATAATGTTCTTGCAAAGCCTTTTGAAATTCCAAATTGGGTGGAATTTCATTTCAATTCAATTTGAGTAGCCACTCTTAATTATTTGAGCTAATGGAGAGGGATGAAGCATCAAAAATAGAAAATTCACATAATACAAATTTAAGCACATAATGACACAAACACATATTCTCAAATTTTAAGAAATTAAAAGATCACCAAGAGTTATTAGACTGATTTTACTGCATGATTCATTACTCAACCGAATGAAGAATTGCTAATGTGTTTGAGCATTTACATCACTGGCATCACACATCAGAGGGGGTGACTTTCTATAGCTATTCATTATAATTAGAGGTGATTTCAATGACACTTTTGGTAAGCTTACATAAGAATTTTTATTCTTTTTGTAACTTTCTATATTCCTCATGTTATCTTCATTAAACTCATATAATTTTTCTTTTAGGAAGGGAAAGGGAGAGAGCAAGAGAAATAATGATGAGAATCATTGATAGGCTCCTGCACACCCCACACTGGTGATCAAGCCTGCAACCTGGACATGTGCCCTGACTGGGAATCAAACCCATTCATTACCTTCAAGTTACTAGGTCAACACTCAGCCACTGAGCCACACTAGCCAGGCTAAACTCATAGTACTTTTATTGTGATAAAATATATATAACATACAATTTACCATTTTAACTGTCTTGTACTGCAACATCAAGTACATTCATATTGTTGTGTAGCCATCACCACCATTCATCTCCAGAACTTTTTCATCTTTTCCAACATCGACAATTTTTAGTAGATATTTCCTCCCTACTGTCTACTAATAATCTATTTAATGTTCTAAGTTAATTTCTTATAGCTCTTATTGAAATAAATGTAAAGTCTACCAAAATGATTGAAGGACAGCATCTATACAGGTTTATGAATTCAACTTTCATATATAGAAAGAGAATTCTTGTCTTTTCATAGATATGCTTCATACATTCCCGCTATACATGCTTAACTAACCCTGTCCTTTCTTTATTCCTCAACAGCCCAGGCAACAGCCCAGGGGAACTTAACATGTGCAAACAGCTTCTGGTTTCCTTGAATAGTACATAGACTACAGGGTTATTGATAAGACAAGTATGTATTTGTATCTGCAAAATTAAATTTTTATTTTTAACAAATATACTTCACTTTGCTTTAAAAGATATTATGGACATTGGTTAAATTATATTAAGACAAAAGTATGCTCATCCAGTTGCTGTTTTTAAGCTTTTAGCTTTTACAATAGACTGTCTCTGGTTTAACAGATGCAAAGTATTAACTACAAAGGAAGATAGGAGTTTCTTAAAGCTTCATTAGTAACATTTATTTTAACTTCACTTAGTCCTGGCTTTATTAATATACTTTATTTTAGCTTCTCTTGGTCTGGTTTTATCAATAATGCTTATTTTATCTTTATGTATTTCATAAAGACCATGGAAATTCTTTGGAATATAGCATACTATCCAACAATCACAAAATTTCAAACTTCTAAATTAAGAAAAACATTTCTTCATTGTTTGTTTGTTTTTTTCTAAGAACTACAGACACTCTCATTTTCTGAGAGACAAAGACTGAAGTTAATGGTGGTGATAATCATAAAACATATCTCCAAGATCAATTTCCTTTTATAGTACTCTAGCCCTAGTTATAAAACTTCCCTATATAGAAAAGGCATGTCACATTTAAAGAGTAAGTTTCCCATAGTTCTTCACTATAGTGTGGGGCAAATTTAACTCAACTTTTTTAAAGAGAGGGTGACTCCCTTCTCTCTGCTCTTTCTTGGCTAATGACAATTTCTGGTTAATTTCCTGTAGCTAAGTGAAAGCTAATATTGTCCTTTTAACTGGGCAGTCACTGATAGATTTATCAGTTACATCTTAGTTTATAAAATAGAGTGGGTTAAAGACAAAGGTCAAAAGTTTCGAGCTCAAGACTCTTTTCATCTGTTAGAATCAGAAACTAAAACAAAAGCATTGATTTCCCTTACTTTCCTCACATTGAGTAAAATCTAGAATTAAATTACATAAAGCTTTATTGAGAATTCTTCTAAGACACTGGGAGAAGGAAACTACACATTATAGACAAGAAATAGAACAACAATATAATGAAGTTTCACTGTTGTGAAACTTTGTTATAGTCACTTTGGCCTGTTCTAACAAAAATACCATAGACTGAGTGGCTTACATAACAAACAGTAATTCCACATAGTTCTGGAAGCTGGAAAGTCCAAGATCAAGGAGCTGGCAGATTCAGCATCTGATCAGGGGCCACTTTCTGATTCATGGATGGATGTCTTCTCTCTATATCTACATGGAATAAGAAACAAGAGATCTCTCTGGAGTCTCTCCTATAAGGGCACTAGTTCCATTTATTTAATGAGGGTTCCACCCTTATGACCTAAGGCCCCATGTCCAAGTACCATCACATTGGGACTTAGAATTGCAACATATGAATTGGAGGCGGGGGGAGGGTGTTACACAAACATTCAACCTATAGTATTGCTGCTGTTTCTTGCGCACATTTTAAAAGTAACATTCTCAGATCTATTTGGCAAAACTTTGACCTAACAGCTGTGTTTCTGACATAAACTTGGAGAGAACTTATACTTTGAAAACACGTGGTTCTGAAACAAACACAGGGAAGCAGCCAAAATGCAGAGACAAAGAAACATGTCACAAATAAAAGAACAGAAGAAATCTCCAGAAAAAGAACTAAATGTAATGGAAGCAAGCAAACTACTAGGTACAGAGTTCAAAACAATGGTTATAAGGATGCTCAAAGAACTAAATGAGACATTCAAGGAACTTAGTGAGAATTTCAAGGAAATTAGTGAGACACGAAAAAGGACCAGTCAGAAATGAAGGATACATTAACTGAAATGAAGAGTAATTTACATCTTCTACTCTACCATTGGAATCAATGGTAGAGTAGAAGTCATCAAGAATCAAATCAGCGATTTGGAATGTGAGGAAACAAAAAAGACCCAATTAGAATAGCAAAAAGAAAAAAAGAATCCAAGTATATGAAGAAGGAGCCTCTGGGACAACTTCAAAGGTACCAACATTCACTTCATGGGGGTGCCAGAAGGAGAAGAGAGGGAGCAAAAAATTGAAAACCTACTTCAGGAAGTAATGACAAAAAAATTTCCCATACCTGGTGAAAGAAATAGACAAACAAGTCCAGGAGAGTACCAAACAAGATCAACTCAACGAGGTCCACACCATTAAAATGCCGAAAGTTAAAGACAAAGACAGAATCTTAAAAGCAGCAAGAGAAAAGTGGTTAGTTACCTACAAGGGAGCACCCATCCAACTGTCAGCTGATTTCTCAACAGAAATTTTGCAGGCCAGAAGGAGTTGCAAGAAATATCCAAAGCGATGAATAGCAAGGACCTACAACCAAGATTACTCTACCCAGCAAAGCTGTCATTTAGAATTGAGGGTCAGATAAAGAGTTTCATAGACAAGAAAAAGCTAAAAGAGTTCATTACCACCAAACTAATATTACATGAAATGTTGAAGGATCTTCTGGAGGAGGAGGAGGAGGAGGAGGAGGAGGAGGAGGAGGAGGAAATATGAACAATAAAATGGCAATAAATACATACCTATCAACAACTGAATCTAAAAATCAAAATAAATGAATGAGGAATCTAATGAATAAAATAAACTAATAAATGGAATGGAATCAGTGGCATGGAAACATGGAACAGACTGAGAAATCTCAATGGAAATGAGGGAGGGAGGTGAGAAGAGATTAGCTAAAGAACTTATATGCACATATGCATTACCCATGAACACAGACAATAGAGTGGTGAAGGCCTGGGGATGGCAGGATCCAGGTGGTGGAGGACAATGAGGGGAAAAAATGGGGGGGGGGGTACATCTGTAATACTCTCAACAATAAAGAATAAATAAATAAATAAATAAATAAATAAGAAAACACGTGGTTCTAAGCAGAAGAGAAAAAAAAAGAACATAGCTGCTATTCTAAGGTCAGAGCATCATTGCACAGATCACTTATTTTTTTTAATAGTCCTTGCTACTATCATTTTAAAAACCCACAACTCTCACCAGCAGAACATTTGGAACAGTATACTCTAGCATTTCAGGGAGATCAAATTTCTTTTCTACAGCTCTTAAGAGGCACCTCTTGAAATTTTCCAGTTAATATTTTCAAAGCTCTGTAACAAATAACAGCCCCAGAGAAAAGCCTATAATATGACTGTCAGTGAACTTGACTTCCATCATAAAATCAAAACATTGTCAAGCATTTCAGGCATTGAAGTAGCTACCACCTAATAACTATTTGGAAAAAAAATACCCAAATCAGTTTGTCGCATATCAATCTCTTTGACTTTCAAGTCAAAAAAAGGATAGTCGTTTTTATGTATTTATTTATAAAACTATAGTCACAATTCCTCCAAGAAATATATCTATAATAATAAAAGCATAATATGCTAATTAGACCAGATGACCTTCTGGATGAAGCCGGGGCTTCGAGGGAAACCTGGGTCCCTGGTGCCTGCTGGCAGCTGGAGAGAAGCCCAGATCCCAGGTGCCTGCCAGCGGCTGGAGGGAAGCCCGGGTCTTGGGTGCTAGAGGGAAACCAGTGCCAGCAGCTGGGGGAAGGAAGGCCTACTCTTGCACAAATCTCATGCACCAGGCCTCTAGTTTATGTATAAAGAAGTATTGATTCTTGGTAGTGTTACACACACACAAAAAAAAAGAGAGCAAATTTTAAGTTAGTTCTTTTTTCTTCCTAATACATAAAAAAAGGATAAGTTAACATGAACATTCATTCATTCAACAAGTTTTTATTAATGATCTATTATTTGCTAGGCACTGTGTTGAGCTTTAAGGCAAATATAAAGAAGCAGGCACTTTTCCCCTGCCTATGAATGTGCAAATAGATGTCGAATGAA